GTTGATCTGAAATGTTTACATTGATTAAAGAGAGATAATGGAAGACATCTGTGAGGAAATAAATACTTTTGTCACGGTCCGTGGTGAGCTTCCTGCACGTAACCTATCTTCTCTGGGCATTGTTTTCAGGTGGGCGCGTCTGAGAGCCTCCAGCTGCAGCCAATCCTGTCATTACGGCCCAGGGGATTTAAGGAGCAGTGTGACACTTCACTTCGCCGGATGATTACTCTGTTTTGGGTAGCTCTAGCTTTAACCTGTCTTGATCCTGTGATTTTTCTAGTTCCGATTCGCTTACCTGCGCTTATGAAGTTCTGCTTGATTTCTGTCGCCAGAGAAAACCCTGATTATCCTTCCCTGCTCTGCTCCAGGTTTCTCTCCGCACTCCACCACCTCCATAACCAACTCGGACTCCTGCAAACCAGATCACGCTGTCTCCTCCCCTGGCCGCTCGCTCTCAGCCGCTCACCTGCCTTCACCAAACCGCTGCTCCTACCTCCTCTCTGGACCAACAGTCCCATCACCTTCTGGAGCCTTCCTGCTCACCCGGACCTGACCAATCCCTCCGGAAGATCTCACCACTAGCTGCAATCAGTAAGCTCCACTCCCAATATCATTGTCCGTCATTCCCTCCATATACTCACTCTGTCTCCCTCCTCAGAATTCCATCCTGGAATCTTGCTGCCAGCTTGCCCGTCATCTGTTCCCGTTCCTATCATTGTTCTTCAGTAAATAATAAAATCGTTTTACTTACTTGCCGGTTCCTGTGTGGTGATTCTGCCCATCATGACAACTTTTCACAACACACTATGTTGAGTAATAATTGAGTTAGTCTCTGCCATCCCTGTGAACTACTGAACTGTCTTCAGCCTCATCACTATCATCCACTGAACCTAACAATTGTTCAAGTTTCAACTATAAAAACCTGTTTTAATTGGAGCCAGACATTTTTAGCCCCAGAACATAGAACATCAGTTTAACGAAGCAAAAGGATGGTCTAGCCACGCTCCACTGGAACTAGTCCCGGCCATCTGGTGCCGAGCCAATCACAGCACTTTGTCAGTTTGGTTTGCGCCTGCTTTGACGATGTATGGTGGACTACCCCATAGGCTTCGGCAGTATTACCGTATACAGCCAGTGTTAAAAAATAGCAGTTCCAATACCATCATGAAAAAAAGCAGTGTGTGTAGGAGACAAGGATTAATAAATAAATAAATAAGAAAGATACATAAAATCATATAATATATAAAACAAATGCATGGTTGAATTTTCTGTTTTACATAAATAGTTTAAAATGTTTTGTCCAACTTTTAGAGATGTTCCCTAAAGTTTATGAAAGTGATGTCATCACGTGACCACGCGGAGACGCGTCCAGAACCAAAGTGCCTTGTCATATAAAACGAACACAACTGAAGAGGTAATTTGCGCTAACAACAGATGACAGCAAAAGACGCAGTTTCCGTCAGCAGAGCAGCGATTCAAAGCTGACATAGCTCAATAACAACAGTAGTTTGGAGCCTGTTATTAAAAGAGATGAAATTGAACTTTTCTGTTGGAAAATAAACTGCCAGTCTTCCCCGGATATCAAAACTGCTGTTTTTAAGCCTCCTCTGAAGAAAAGTAAACTAGATCCCTTAGAGATGAATAATTACAGACCCATTTCTAATCTGCGCTTCACTGGGAAAATGATTGCAAAAGCAGTTATGATCCAGCTGAACAAGTTCTTGGAGACAAACAAACTCCTGAATGGTTTCGGTCAGGCTTTAGACAACACCACAGCACAGAGACTGCACTGATTGAAGTATTAAATGATGTCCATATTAATACAGATTCAGGCAAAACATCTGTTTTAGTGATGCTCGATCTCAGTGCAGTTTTGATACCGTGGACCACAACATACTTTTTGATAAACTATTAAAGTGGGTGGGAGATTCAGGCACAGTCGATACTTGGTTCCAATCATATCTCGCAGACAGGAGTTATGTTGTTTCTATTGGTGAACACAAATCAAAGCAGATCGCCCTGACATGTGGTGTCCCCAAGGCTTGGTTCTTGGACCACTGCTTTTCGATCTCTACATGCTCCCACTTGGCAAAGCCATAAACAATAACAACACCACCTACCGTAGTTATGCAGATGACACCCAGATCTACCTAACTCTATCACCTAGGCTCTCTGTCAGTGCCTAGAGCAAGTTAATAACTGGATGCAATCAAGTTTCCTTCTGTTAAACAAGACGAGACTGAAGTTAGTGACTTCGGAAATAAGAAGGATATGATGGAAGTTATTTCTCAACTTAGCTTCAAAGGAATAAAGACAAAGACTCAGGTTAGAAGACTCAGGTTAGGGTCTTAACAACAACCAAAAGAACAGAGCACACCACCCCTGTTCTTAAATCTCTACACTGGTTACCAGTAAACTACGGAATCGACTTCAAAGTGCTTTTACTAGTCTATAAATCACTACATGGTATGGGGCCAAAATACATGTTGGATCCCCTTCCTGTATATACACCCAGCAGGGCTCTCAGATCTTTGGGAAACAATCAGCTGGTAGAACCTCGGGCCAGAACCAAACAGGATGAAGCTGCTTTTAGTCACTTTGCTGCTCACAGATGGAATCAGCTTCCTTATTATTTCAGATGCGCCCCAACTCTAGTAACTTTTAAATCAAAATTAAAAACCTTTATGTATTCATCAGCCTTTGAATAAATATTTGTTATGCTGCACTTTCTGCACTGTAACTGCTACCCTTTTTACTAAGCCTTTCATCTGTTTTTTGAATCTGAAATTAATATCTACATGTCTTTGTTTGATTTACCGTGTTTGCTGTTCTTGCGTCTGTAAAGCATTTTAAATTGCCTTTGTGTTTGAAATGTGCCATACAAATAAAGCTGCCTTGCCTTGCAACTGAGCAAAACTAAGATGGCGATGGCTCTGTAGTAGTCCAATCACAGCGCTCCATTAGTTTGGTGGGCCACTCACAGCACCCTGGTGGGCCGAATGTTGCTGCGAATGAGCCAAAAATAAAAAATAAAAAAATAAAAGACGGCAACGGATTTGAAACGGCTTTGGCATCAACATTGGATGTTTAGATGTGGGCTTTTCATTGACTCAAGTGCAGATAGAGGTACCTAAGAGCACTTAACTCCTGTGCCACCATCGCCCCAAAGACAACTGTAGATCCTGCCCCAAGACCTGAGAGCTATCAATGGACCGCGGCCAGACTACATATCCACTTCTATAGGATGGCTTGCCAGGCTAGGATATTTGTACAGTTTCTCAAACTTCATTAGTTCATATAGCTACAAAAATGTAGGCGTTACATTGAAAGTTTTGTGGTATATATGTTAGCCACGATGTGTTGACAGTGATATTCTCATTTGTACTTAAAATGTGTGCAGCTATACTATTTAACTAGAGTAGCCTTTAAGCATTAGTAAGACCATATTTATGTGACTTTATTAGAAAAGCACCAGCAAACTACAGAAATACGCCACAATGAGCCAGTTTTCCTTTTATACCGTATATCTGACCAAGTTTGGGTTCCGGGAACTTGGCCACAGAATGAAAAACAAAACACAATCCCATGTACTAAAGGAGAATTACAGCTCTGCAGTGTTAATCTGTTCTGCTGTTATTGTTTAGTTTGGATTACAGTCTGTCCATTTTGCAGGCATGAAAGGGCAGCCAGTGGTCTGTGTCAGGTTGTGTCATTTACTTGGCATCTCGCGATGAGTTCTGCTTGTTGTGGCGCTGCACAGAAACACGCAGCAAATCATAAGAAAAGATTTCAGTTGAATGAAATCAGTGCCTGCTCCACATAAAGAAGCTCGTTACAAAAAAAATCACACCTTTTGTTTTCAAACTGCATACTAAATGAGCCGTTTGCTTAAACTGTGGCATTATTGTCAAAGTGAGAATAATGGTTCACACTGAGGTGGAGGGCGAGTGAAGATATAGTCTGATATCAGTAAATAAATAACACACCGCTAGCTTTTGAAATTATAATATTGCTTCTATGAAACCTGTATTGCAGCACAATCTATCAACATACGGAAAGAGGGCTTTAAACATTAAGATGAATAGCAGTGAGTGGAGACGGTCTGGAAAAAGCAGGGAAAGACAGGAGGGGGAAACAAGCTGGGGGGAGGAAGTATATAAAGAAATACAGGGTCTGCCTGAAAGTGTTAGACACATTCTGCAGTGATTTTGCTGTCTATTGAAGCAGAAAGCACTGAACTAAAAGATGAAATATTAATAGTATGGAACAGGGAAAAGCTTGGCTAAAAAGAGGACATGATCTTTCACTCTTCTACATCAAGATGCAGTCCATTTGAGCTTCAGGGACCACATGGGAATCTTTATTTTGATGTTGATGCTGCTGCTTTTGGCACAGGTTGTGCTACTTCATTTGCCATTTCAATGAGGAAAAGTGGGCAGACAAGCTGTTTAGCTTCTCAAAGATTGTACCGCGAACCCGTCAAGGCTACTGGAACCCAAAGGAGGCAAAACACATCAGCCTGCTGTCACCAGTGCCATTACACAACGTTTCCTCACTTCAGTTTTCACTCACTGACACCCACACCTTTTCTGCTGCTACGAAGATCGACAGCAGCCATCGGTAAGTGTCAATCTGAAAAGGTGGCGCTTACTTCTTCTGAAGTGAGGGGGGTTGTCGTTCACGTCGCTCAGCTTCACAGTGACAGTCGTAGTCCCCGATAACCCGCCCAAATGCCCGCCCATGTCTTTAGCCTGGAGGACGACCAGATATTCATCCTGGCTCTCTCTGTCCATGTCAGGTACCGCTGTCCGAATGATGCCTGGTGGAAAAGAGAGCGGGTCGTAAAGCAAAAATCACAACAGTTACAAATTTCACAGTGACATGCCGTCTCTCCACATTAACATCAAACTGAGTCATACGTTTTAGAATTTGGATGTTTCAAAACCTGACTCCAGGCCACCTCTATTTCTGAACACGTTGAATAAAAGTTTGAGCCAAACATTAGGATGAAACGCACCGTATGATGGAGGTTAACTATAAAGTGAAACTGTCAGCTGGAGAAACTGGGAATGTATGAACAGACCTGTCTGAGGATCCACAGAGAAAAAGTCCTGGCCCTGGGTTATCCCGTACACCAGCCGGGCACTGTTTCCATATGTAGGATCATCTGCATCCACAGCTGTGACTTGGACTACTGATGTGCCTTGTTAACAGTGAAGGAATGACACAAAACATAAGTCACCAAGGGCCCTTTTGTAACAAACATGTAAGTAAGTAAGTAAAAGTTTATTTATATAGCGCCTTTCACAGATATAAATCACAAAGGCTGTACAACATGAATGTGAATTACCAATATTTAAATCTGCTGTGCAGAAAGCAGAATGAATATTGCTGCTGTGTCTCCTTGCTCATTGGCTGTTCTAAATGTGTTGCGTGCTGAGCAGCTATCCTTCTTGACCATGTGCCAGTAGCAGTTCATTTAGCCCCAATTTAGAGCAAAACATTACAACCTAATTTTACAACAGGAAAATATATTTGAAGGTTATTTGCTCTCAACTATGTTGCTTAAAGCCGGGTTCGCATAACAGGAAAATCGTGCCAATTTTGGACCAGCTCCCCACTTCCACCAGTCTTAAGAAAGCATCTGATTACCATAAGGATAATCCCATCAGATAATCCTACCTTGTGTAATTTGAGAGCGCTATGGTTCCCTCGGATGGACGTCGGGATCACTATGATCCAAAACAAAAGCTTTGAATGTGTTGGATTGTCTTTGTCTCATTTTTGAGGACTAACAGGTGTGCTGCCTGTTGAATTTGATGTGCAGCCAATCAGAAGGCGAGGTGATGAAAGTGCATGCTCCTCCTCCGCCGTGTTCGCACATCAAAACTGGTTTATTTGTGATTTTTTTATCACCATGTTTATGGTCTGTGTTGTTTGGAAAATTGGCAGAGAAATGAATTAGAACTGGGTTTACTGTTTATCCAACTAAACTATAAATTCTAACAAATCATTATGCTCTCCATGACCTGTTAGATTATGCGTGTATCCTGGAGAATCCCAAAGCCTGAGAAGATCTCCTGGACTCTCACCAGGCTGTTCACCTTCCACCGTGATACTACCATATATATCCTATAGATTAATGTTTTTTCCCCTTACAACCGTTGTGAGTACAGTCTTATCAGTTAAAGCAAAAACACATTATTGTTCTACTATAAACTTCATTAACACTTATGTCTGGGTCTCACTGAGCTATAACTGTTGGCAACAAGTTGGAGACAAGATTGTGAGAAGCATGCATATTTTGAGCTGGAGTCAAACAGAAACAGTATGTACAACACTTTAGACACATTTTCTATAGCTGGCTCATGGGATGCACATGATGCATAATGCACTTTAATGTAGCAACAAAGTTCTTTAAAGTTTCCTTAATGTGTTTATTTTACCAAGCGTAGACATCTAGATGGACAGTGGCCAAACAAAATAATTTTGCTCTGGTCTGCATGTCAACCTACAGTAGCCACACTCCATAGGGGCCTCAGCAGGCTCCTTCAGTCTTGTGCTACGCCAATCACCACACTCTATTGGTTTGGTGGACCAATCACAGCACTCTATTGGTTTGGTGGGCCAATCACCACACTCTATTGGTTTGGTGGGCCAATCACCGCACTCTATTGGTTTGGTGGGCCAATCACCACACTCTATTGGTTTGGTGGGCCAATCACAGCACTCTATTGGTTTGGTGGGCCAATCACAGCACTCTATTGGTTTGGTGGGCCAATCACAGCACTCTATTGGTTTGGTGGGCCAATCACCACACTCTATTGGTTTGGTGGACCAATCACAGCACTCTATTGGTTTGGTGGGCCAATCACCACACTCTATTGGTTTGGTGGGCCAATCACCACACTCTATTGGTTTGGTGGACCAATCACAGCACTCTATTGGTTTGGTGGGCCAATCACAGCACTCTATTGGTTTGGTGGACCGGTAAAGCCCTTCGCTGCCAGCATTTCTCACCGTTTTTACAGTTTTTTTTAAGAGTCACAGAACGTTGCACGCTAGGGTGATGTCGACGCCAAAACAACCAAAACAAAGCGGAGACTCACCTCTTACATCAGCAAGAATCCACGCGTTTCGAGCGTTATCCGTTCTTTCATAATCCGTTGTTGAATCGTGATCGGAAGAAGCTTTCCCGGTTCACGCCTCACTTTTTTTTTTACAGCAGTGGCCCAAAACGATCTCCTAACACGTGGATTTTCTGCTGCCTGATCACGTGACGTGTGACGTATGCGGATGAAGATCGGCTTTAGAGCTGAGATGTTTGTTCTCACAGTGCGGGGGCTCGTACCGACGCCCAAACAGTAAAAAATTGCAAATGTCGTCATTGGCAGTGAATGAGTTAAGACTTGGGCTTTTCTTTGAGTCAAAAGCACATAGAGGTACTTAAGTTCTTTATTTAGAAAGAAGATATATTTGCATTTTCTTTGACAGTCTATGGCAGACTGCCCCGTTGACTGGCATCCGTAGCAATGAGTACATTTGTGTAGACAGTCTGAAAGACAGCAGTTGATCCCGCCCCACTACTGAGCTCTGTCTATGGGTTGTGGCCAGACTATATATTCATATATATAAGAAGGCTTGCCAGGCTATAATTTACCATAATTGTCCTTATAAGGTGGATGCCACCACCTCTTTAATTTGTCTTACATTTTTTCCATTTTCTGACTCTGACTTTATGTCTCTGAACATTCCAGCGACAAGTGAGTGAGATCGTGTGACTCATGATGAAGCTATGAATCATTGCAAATGTTTTGAGGTGTTTTGAAAACTCCGTCACAGTTTGTCACCAACAGTTACATCCCAGTGAAGAAGCTGGCATTAAAAAAATAGCAAGCTAGTGTGCCAGCTTAAAAAAAGAAAATCTACTAGAAAGTAATGGTAAACAAACAAACAAAAGGAGGAAAAATGCAAGAAGGATCAATTTAATATAGTAATAAATCAAAGTTAAGCAACATCACAAAACTATTCAAAGACTATTTTGCACTAGTCAATAATTAGGCATGCGATCTGGCGGTACCTATGTTGGCCATCTCTGGCACCATGGCAACATAAGGCTCATTTGGGAAGATGGGTGGGTTGTCATTGATGTCCTGCACTCTGATGATAAACTGAGAGGAAGGCTCCAGGGCTTGGCCGGTCTCACGGTCTAAAGCCGTTGCTATTAGACGATACTGGTCCTTCTCCTCTCGATCCAGAGACTTGGTGACATGTATGTTCCCCGTGTTGCTGTCGATAACAAACACGGAGCCGACTCCCTCTCCTTCTAGCATGTATTTGGTGTGTCCGTCTCCTCTGTCCATGTCTGTGTGCAGCTGGAAAATCAAACACACACACAGAGAAGAGTCGCTGCAACACCTTTAGGGGTAACACCGGATATGGTGTGCTGAAGCAGGTATCACTCATTAACACTCCTTTATTTGTCTGGCAAGTGAAGCAAACCTGACTGTGTGAAATGGGTAAATGATGCTAAGATGGGATGTGCTCAGTGAATCTGAGAGGAATGGCACCAGGTGTGGAGGATACATATGGGACCAGGATGAGTACGGATGCATGCAGCTAATTAACTCATTGGACCAAACATGCCATTGGGGGTTTGTTGGGGGGTAAATCCACATCAGTGTGGACAGTGGCCCTGCAAATGTCATGTATGGATATTCACAGATGCATTCCTTAAACAGCCAGTATCCATCTGCAAATCTCTCAGTCCCTTTTATCCATCTGTCCCTTCCTTCCCCTTTTCCTTCTAAATCTGTCAGCCTGACTTGTCCCTACCTTTTTAGACCACCTCTTCCTCTCCCTCCTGTTTCTCTTCTCCTTTCATCAAGTCACCTCGCTTACACAGATTGTCCATCTGCTCACATTTCTTATTCCCCCCCTCTCCTCCTCGGACTCTGCTCTCTGCTGAAGAATCCTGGTTTGGTTTTTAATGGCAGAGAGGATCTAGATAGGTAAAAGGCCAAACACACAGAAATGGAAGGTGGAAGATATTACTCAGCCTTCATCACATTTGAGCTTCCTGACCAGAAAGTCTCTTGTCTCTATCCTGAAGGCACATCTGCACATGTTTATAATCCACGAGGCTTACTCACAACCTCTGCTGTGGACCTTCAATACTCATAAGAGCTAAAGCCTCAACTTTAAATTGCAGCTGCAGCACAGTCTGATTTGAAGTGTGAGAGGCATATTTAAGTCCTAGATATCATGTGCACAAAGAACTGGACAAATGTGATAGTGTGAATCAAAAATGATGCAATTATTCAAACCATGCATGTGCCAAAACTAGATTTCTACTTAAAGGTAATTAGAAGTGGCCACTTAATGTACATCAGTGCATCAAACTGACATATGTTCACACTAGAGCTACCGTGCAGAGCATGCATGCATGCAGGAGAGAGGGAGAGAGAGAGAAAAACTGAAATCATTGAGTATGTGAGGGTGGTTTGTATGTTTTGGAGGTTTAGGGATTATATACACTCATAATGATGCACCCCAACAAACCAATAATGCATTTTTTAATTCATCTGCACACCACATCCTCTCCCTTCTTTCTTCCTCAAAAACAAGCTTTGATCCCACTCTTTACCACCAGAGACATCTTTGTCAAAGTCTGCACCTCCTTTGCTCCCCTCCTTGTTACTCCCCCACCTCGCCTCCTGCTTTCAGTCCAGACCTCCTCTCTTCACTTGTCTAATTGCTGGCTCAGTCCTGCTGTGTTTCAGTCAGCATGGAAAAAACACTCACAGTGGGGGAGAAACTGAACCACTCCATACATCCAAAGCCAGAAGAGGAGGAAACTGTCTCTTCTAATCCCTTTGTCACTTTTTCTCCATCTGTTTAATCTCAGTTCTCTACCTCCTCTCACTCGTGCGCTATATTCACCTCTGGGTGGGTCTGCTTCTCTTGCAGAGACATTCTTGCACCTGCGATTTGAACTGTTGATAGCTCACTTCCAGTCTTGTAGTAGCAGAAGAGATTTTTTTTGCAACGTTATCATCTCTCTATTTCTGGCAAACAAAAGTGAGCTGCCGTTGAAGGAGCACCGTGTGCGTCCAATCCCTCAACAATGCAGGAATACTTTATTATACGGATATCAACATCAGAACTGTGCTTGCAATGGGAATGATCAGCCTCATGTGACTACTGATTGCTTTAGCACCCTCCCTGACTGTATCAATAACAACCAGAGAGGGAAATTAAACATTTATGAGCTGTATACGGCACTGGGTAGGATCCAATCTGGACTGTCACCCTATAGTATACTACTAGCTACAAAGTGTCTGGCAGGATTCCCTGTTAGCTTTACAGCTGATATAATCCTGCTGTGAGTACACTGTGGCTGCCAGCAGCTGCATTAGTGAGGAGGTTCTGACGGTGAAATAATACAAGTAATCCCCGGGGAGTGAACGGTTCAGGTACGCTGCGAATTAAATCACCTCCATCACTTCTCATGTTGCAACGCAGACGGCAGATGAAGGCTGCAGGTGATGCAACTGTAAAAGCTCAAGTGTATGACACAACGAGTGGAGGTGCAGCTGCACAGAAGTTTTTATTCATTTTCTGTTACATTCCCCAGCAAATCAGTGTTGAATCTGACAAAGAGCACTTAAGTGTTTCATGCTTTTGCATAAACATGTAAGTGAAAATTCTTTCTGCAACTGTGACACAAAATACTTTTTTTTTGCAGTTTCATTTATTGATAGTGGACATCCAAACATAGTTACATGAGAAATAAATAAAATAGTATTGGCCTGTATTTGATAGAGCAGCTTATGGGGTTCTGCAACCCCCCAAAACCCTTTCCAAAGCAGCACGTAGTTTACCCATCCACACACAGGAAAACGTGAGAACATGATACTTGATAAGCTTTTTCTATTGTTGTGTTTCATTTCATTTCAACTGGATCAGAATAACTGCCACTAAAGGAGCTTTGCCTCTATTTGCATTAAGTGCTGTAAGTGAAGTAGTCCCACTCTGGGAAGGATTAGTACATGGTACTACACTGTTCTCTAAGAAATGACTTTACTGGTGTGGAGTTGTGGAGTTTGCCATTTGCCACCATCAACGTGACTCTTTTGGTGCCACAAATAACCATATTGATACAACCTGGATAACCTGAGAAGTCACACCAATCTTTAATGCAAAATTATTTCATTATATTGTAAGTGTTTAAAAAAACAAACAAAAAAACTAATTAGATCAAATTGACCTTTGCTAAAATTTGTTTTTCATGAGGAAGGCTGATGCTCTTTGAATGGAGCCAGAGTTGTTTTAGGGACCTACACCTGATAACCAAGTACTACAGTCCAGTGAAAGACATCATGAGCTCATCCGTAGCTTGTTCAATACCACCTAAAAAATATAGAACTGCTTGACAACATAACATTAAATGCAAAAACTAGAAAGGCACCTGGTCAATATTTAGTTGGACTGGCTAATCATTGTTTCACCAAACAGAAATTATGTAAATGTTTAATTTTTTTTGTCTGGGAAACATTATTGCCAAGAAGAATCAGAAAAATTTCCCAGTCCATGAACTCACCATCGCTAGCTATTTCCAGTTTGTCTGAAATGTAATCTTATGCCTCTATTATTTTAAAAAGTATCATAGTTTTAGGGATGTAGGAAAATATCGATATGGCAATACATCATGATATTTTTTTCCTGCAATATTATATTGATAATCAAAAGCTGTGTATCACATTTTATAGAAGAATTTACATGCAAACATTTATGTATGTTTGTTTCTTTTGGTGCAATCCAAACGCCGACCGCTAGTTGGCAGCAGTGTGTAATGGGTGTTGTTTCCACCAATGAAATGTAAATCCCTCTGTTATAGTTCAGATATTTCATGTTAAGCATGTTACATATCGGTTTGGACTGTTTATTGAATTTTCACACAACAAATTCAGTCTAAAAGAATTGCTAATATCGTTTGGCTGAATGTATCGCAATATATCGTATTGTCTCCTCTGTATTGTGATACGCATCGTATTGCCAGAATTTCACCAATACCCATCCCTAATATGTATAAATGAATCTTGATTTGACTTAAAAATGCGTATATTTTTTACAGTTCGGTGTCTCCAACTAGTCACCACCAGTCACTGCACAGTCAGACTGAGTCTTTGTGATAGACTCTCTGTTCTCAGCAGTTCTACAGGAGAAAACTGAAAAAAGCAAAGAAGGAAAAAAAAGTCTAGTTTGTGTTGCTCTACCTTTGAGTTCTTCAAAGTTCAGTTGCATCATTATTCTCTCACTGTTTCCAGTTGTTGCAGTTTGCTTTTATTTGGAGCACAAGGATGTTAAGAAAAGGTTCAAATGAAACCAAAAATATAAATAAAAAGGTCTTCAGCTATGTGACACCGCTGCTCAGATATCACAGCAGGATGTGTTCAGTTCAGAGCTAATGTGTGCTGCATGTCAGTCACACAGGCACGTATAAACCGTATAAACAGGCAGCTGAACAAGCCTGAACTTGTTGTTTAACCCCATGAGAAATCAATGTCTGATGCACCGAAATGAAAATTCTTGGCCAAAACCGAAAACCGAAACCAGGGCCGGAAACCGAAACTCACAAAGAAATGAATATGTCGGTTATCTTTGGCTACGATGTGTACTAACCTCACTAAAATCAAGGAACTGCAAGAAATCAATTACAAAACCATAAAAGTGCTTATTTAGCACTGACACAACAACAATGCAAAATATAAATTAAAATTCTAAATAAAAATGTTCCCTTGACCCACTTATGTGTACATTAGATAATAAATTACAAATACATCAAATTAATAAACTATAAATTCACATACCTATAACTGAAAAGCCTGCTGAGAAAGACTGTAAAATTAAATATGTTCTCTAACAAAACCACAAAGTGTCTGAAATATTTCTGTGTAGAACAATTCCTGCGTCGTCTCTTCTCATCGGGACATGAGCTGCAGCGCTGAAGTCTCTCATGCTTGTGTGGACAACATAGGTTTCATAGAGTAGCAGCGAGGACATTTCCTCCACTTTTCCATAAAAATATTTTTTGTTTACAAACTTGGAAATTTCAAAGGTGTTAAAATCATAATCGCAGCATTTTCTGACACCGCCATGTTGGATTTCTGTTTACTAAATGCGCATTGGTCTAAAACGATCACGTGAGAGCCGCTTCACTTCGGTCTCCTTTACGCTCAAAACAAAACTACCGGTAGTTAAAACAACGACGTGATAAAACAGCAGTACTAAAAGTAGAACATCTTTATTTTTAGAAATGACGATTTTTATGAAGCGAAGAGCAAATAGCCACGAGGTCGGAGAAGAGATGAAACAAAAACAGGGTTCACCTGACGGCTTTTTTCTGCTATGATTTTTTGGTGATTGAGGTCATTCGTCCTAAAACTGAAAATACACTTTTGGGTCATTTTTGGCCGAAGATTTTTTGGTGCCTCCCTCACGTCTACATTTCTTTGTTGTCATGTTTTTCTTCGTCAAACTGCACCCAGAGGAGCTCAGCTTGGATCCTTTCATTCTTTCTGTAATTTCTGTAATATTGGAAACCAGAAGAGGCTGCAAAGCTAATCAAAGAGGGTTGCAAGACTTTTCTGGAGGATTCTATGAGCTTTGTTTATTTTCTCTGCAGCCTTCAAATACCACAATGCTGCTGAATGAGTGCAACTGGACCCCTGACACCAGTTACACTTCATCGCCTGTAGCATGTACTTTACTGTGGCTGTGAAAACATGCAGGTACCCTCCCTCACACACCTGAGGGAGATGGATTTCCACTAAAAACCTTGCTGGTTTCTTGTTGCAAGCTATTTTTAAACATTTTAAAGAAATTCTGGCTTTTAAAAGGCAACAGAAACAAAATGGGCCCTTTCAGAAAGTGGAGAGGACACAATTTCTTGCATCCCCAGTCTGAATTACACCTGTCGATGCACCAATTTTTCACCTGAGAGCGTGGTCAACAATGTTTTAGGCTATAGTTCATGGTTTTAGGGAGCTAATTGAAATGAACCTTTTCCCTCATCTGTCTTGTTGAAGACAAAGGTGCTGCTTAGAGATAACATGGCCCAATGTCCACCTCTCACACTGGTTGAAAATGTCACAGTCTGTCAGGCAGAACTCAGGGCGTAAGAGCAGAAACGTTGAAACCGAGACAAATTGAGAGTGAACACTCAGAGCAGGGCAGTGGCACAGAGAAACAAAGTGAAAAGGTTATTTCTGGGCGTCGAAAACAGCAAACACATAAATGCCTCCACTGAGCACAGAGGACGCTTTTGTTTGCTTTGATTAAATCATCCTTTGCATGATTAATCTTTTTTCTAGCCCAAGGAGTAAGCTACAAACTAATTTTATACAAACAGATGCAGATGATTCATGTGCTCATGCAGCTTACCCGTCCGATGAGCACCGGTTCGGGGCCTCTGTACTCCTCAATAACAAAGAACTGGTTCCAGAGCCAGCTCCTGCGGTGGCGGTGGCGGGGCTCTGCTCCTGGACCTGCACCTTCAGTCCCCGTGACCCATTTAGATCTGCCCCGAGTCCTTTCCAGTTGAACGCCACTGACACTATTGTCCACGTAGAGTCCAGGCTGAACGCTGTGCACCTCCTCTGACCTTGGCACAAGGCTGTGACTATTAATTACACCCCCATCCTCTTCATTAGTCATATTGCTCAGTTTCTTGTGGCTCATAGTGACTTCAGGGCTATGTTTAGAGATCAGAGATGTAGCAGAAGATCTGTGTTGGCTCCGGATGTCTGTGTGCCCGTTTGGGCTATCCAAATCAAAATCCCCAGGGTTTCTGTCACTCTGCTGAAGAGCCCCATTTGCTGGCCTTATTACATCACCCCCTGCCTCCTGAGCATGCCTTCCCAGTTCTTTGATTTTCACAAACAAGATGTCCGTGGACTCTGGGTGAGGTGGGACGTGTTGCTTTTTGCTTAATATCACTTGCAAGTCCTCGTCTTCCTCTGAAAGGCCAGCAGCCTCTGAAATGCCACTTCTTTCCACTCGACAGAAGAAAAGAAAAAGAAGCACAACATGTGCTGCCATCGCTAGCGTTCAGACACCGGTTCGTCTCAGGGAACTGCTGAAGAGCGGTCAGTCTGATGCAGGTTATTGTGATGAATTACGACAGCTGCCTTTGCCTCACTTTTTCCTTTCCTCTCTTCAGAACGTACGATCATTCTGCCTACTCTTCTCACACATTTCCATTGGGTGCACATGCTGCACAGGATCACCTAAAAGAAGAAACCGTTAGTAAGATCTGTACAGCATTCATTAATATTGGTTACAAGTGTGAACAAAAAGATGCATAAAAGCTGACATCTTACTCATTATCCAACAGAGGAGGATATTTTAAGACAAATGTCTACATGAGTGTCTCTGTGCTGTTAGTTGAGCAGCTTTGTTTGCTCGTCTGAGTGCTCTGCCAGCTGCTGTAAAAAGAGCTGCATGTCTTAAACAGAAACTATGAGCAGGGTGGCCTAATCAGAATCAAAAGGAGAGCTAATTTGTACGGTGAGTTGCATCCTCCTCGTTGCTGTTCAATCTGGTTCTTGATCTCATTCACAGAGAGATAAGTGTGGGCTTCAAAATTTTCAATTAATTTAGAGCCCAGGGGCCTGGCGATGAGGTGGAGCTCAGGTGCTTTACTGCTCCTTGTCACACACAATTGCCTGGACAGCAGGTGATTGATGCCATCCCTAAAGATGGCCTCCCCATGCCTCAATGCCCTGTAGTGAAAGAAGTTCCCCTTCACGGATTAATTAGGCTCATAAATAATATAATCGATGACTTGTTCTCATTTCCCAAAAGTTTAATGATCTTGCTTTTCATCTGATCTGACTCAGGTCCCGGGCCATTGATCTATAAAAGTTGACGCAGTGGAAACTGTCAGTAGCTGAACTCGACTGAAAGTGTTTTTTTTTAATCCACGTTCCATATGCATCCATCACTCTGCCTCACTGTTTCCTGAGATACATGGAATGCTTCTGACCTCTGATTTCACCTTTGTGCACACATGGAGGCATGCCTTATCATCTCCATGGATGTACGGTGCGCTGAGAAGCCAGTTGCCCCTTACAGATTTCTCCGGTTATTGCTTTTTTGTAAGACTTAAATATTTCAGTTCAGAAAGCAAATATCAGAGAACACAACCTGAGTAAACACCTCTATTCTAAACACAGCTGGTCTTATTTTAAAAAGGAATTAACTACGTTTTTTCAAAAGCTGACTTAACTGTCACTAGCCACACCCATTAATGATCGCTGCACATGTAGAGTTAAGAAGGCCTTTCAATAAGAAGCAGACTGACCACGGCCTTCCACCCGATGCTCAAGTGGTGCGTAACATCTGTAGAGTGTCATAGCAGCTAATAGATGCTGTTTTAGTCAATAGGTGTGTTTTCCACCAGGTGTGCAGCGGCATGTACCCACGTGTCCCAGAAGCATAGTGGCACGGTGCTACGCTAAAGTTACGCTCTGCATCTATTTCTTATGCACTACGCTTCCAGAGGGTTAGGGTTAGCTAACCCTCAGCAGCTCAGACCAAAGAAACAGGAAATCAAACGGTGTAAAGCATCCGACAACTTTCAAAATGAAAGACACATGCAGATTTCCTATTGCTTGGCCATAAAAACTGATAAGCAGATAGACACCAGTAATGCTAATTACCTTCTTGATGGTGGTAAAAAGATCAGAAAACAAACCACAGACCTTCTGGACACATGCTGCCATCTTCACCCATGATTTTATCACATGAATTGGCGAAACCATGCATGATCTTGCCAATCTCGTGTGATTTCATGATCTCGTGGGACCAGCTGTGGGGAACGCGTTTGCAGACACTGCATCTGAAACAGTCTCGGAAGCGACTCTCCGCTGAGGCTACAGGGAAAGTGCACGTTTTACGTTACGTGTTGCTCACTCGTCCGGTGGAAAGATGAGGTGAAAGGTCTCAGAATGCAACACTTTCTCCCTGCTCTAAAGAAACGATGCAACTTTTTCATAAATTAAAATCATTTTCTTGAGCCAGGATGTGCTAAGATGAGCCTTTACAAGGTTTATGAAATGTCACTCAGACCCCCACTGCCCTCTGTAGCCAGAATATCGCTCTTGCAACTTCAGAGTGGCGGTCCAGTCCCTGTTGGACTCAGTAAAAATGGAGCTGACATGCAAGCGTTGCAGTCTGCTTCCAGCATGTTTCCTGCTTGCTTTAGAGTGTGCATATTTGTTTGATTTAGTGATGAATTGCTCCTGTAGAAACTAATGAAGGTTGAGGAGACACTTCAGCAGTTAGATTAAGGTGAACGCACACAGGAGGAGATAAGTTTCACTTTTGCTTTCACCAACAGAACACTAGGGGATGTTAAAAGCAAGCAAAAACTGCCTGGTCTCCCTTTAAAAACAAAACACTGGAACAACAAACCTCTGCAGAGACAAGGGGATGA